TGAGCCTGAGTGAAGGGAATGGGGAAGAGCTTTTTTTCTCCAGAGAAGAGAACTAGTTCAAAAGGTCCCTGACCCACAAGAGGTTGGTGTGTTGGGAGCAGAGAGAAGGCTGTTGTGGCTGGTGGCGGGTGTGGTAGGAGGCAGGGCTTGAGGTCATGTAGGGTTATAGACCATACAAGGTGCTGACTATTTTGTTCTTGGAGAAACAGATTTTAAACAGAGGGCTAACATGGTCGGATTGATAAGGTTAAAAGATCCCTCTGATTGCTGTATGGATAGGAGAAAAATTAGAGATCATGGAAGAAACCCAAGGGCTCTCTGGGATGGCCCAGAAGGCCTGGGGAAATGTGATCAGATTTGAGTAATATTGTGAAGGCTGAGCCAATAGGACTTGCAACTGGATTGTACGGGTTAAGGGAAGGAGATGAATCAAGGATGGCTCTTGGGACTTTGGAGCCTATGGGAGAAACGGTGTATCCTGTAACCCAACAAGGAAAACAGGGGAGGCAGAAATTGGGGGATGGAATCCAAACAAATATAGAGTTCTGCTTGGCCTGTCAAAGGGTGAGTTGCCTGTAGACAATCAAGAAGGAGGTGCTAAGGAGTCAGTGGGACCCCCGTCTGGAGTTTGAGGTAGCAGTCAGGCTTGGTCAGTCCTTTTTAGGAGTTTCAGGGACTTTGGTTCTTATGGAAACTTTCAGTGTTTTAGAAACATTAGTTGTTGGAGCTTGAGATTGACACCTGGAGAACATGCTGGAGCACGCTGGGATTTCTGCATCCCTCCTGGGAAGACACACTTACATGATGAGCACACGGGAACCCTCTGCAGCTATACCCATGCCTTGTAGAGACAGTTCTGAATATCTCTCTAGACCAGTGGTCGGCAAACTGTGGCTCGCGAACCACATGCAGCTCTTTGGCCCCTTGAGTGTGGCTCTTCCACAAAATACCGACTTCTGTGCATGGGCCACGAAGTTTCAATCGCACTGTACATGCGCACCCACACGTGGTATTTTGTGGTATTTTGTGGAAAAGCCACACTCAAGGGGCCAAAGAGCCACGAGCCGCAGTTTGCCGACCACAGCTCTAGACTCAGGTGATTGTTCTTCTGAATTCTTTTGTGTACTTCCTCTTTGTTAAGCCAGACATACGTCTCACTTCCTATTTGTGTATGTTCCCAGTGGAGTGCAGCACAATCATTAAGAGCTAACAAACAGTAAATCACATTCATATTTCAAAGTTTCATAAAAATAACGCAATCACGAGCATGCCAGGTGTTTGTGCTTCCATGTCTTTCTTGTGCATGGATATTGCAGGCCATTGTCCCTTTACCTCGTCCAACTGGCCAGTGAGAGTGCAGTCCTTGTTAACATCAAGTGGGTGTTAAATCAGAAGACTACATAGAAAAGGGGATGGATGATGCTTCAGGACGGAAAAGGGCCCGCAGGCCAAGCCCACTTATTTATGTTTGGATAAATGTCCCCACTTGAACTGTCCTTGGCCTAAACTCTGCTTCCTCTTTTTATTCCAATTTCTTCAGCCACTTTCGCTCTTTCCTAAAAAATCATCTTTCATCTACTCCAATGAGGACATTTACCTTATTCCCTGTGCTACTGTTCTAAGTACTCTTGTGTTTACCATATTTTTTATAGTTTGTTCTGTGAGAGAGTCTGGTTTTCTTCACTTCTCGTGGAGATGATTTCCCCAGGACCGACAAGTATTGCCTCTTGAAGAAGAGTCTCTGGTTATACTGGTCATATCATTGGCTCCCCCAAGTGATTCAGCATGTTGCCAGGTGGGCACCTTGGCCATACCCAGGTTGCCGGAGATGTCAACACCCTAGGCTTTTTGGATAGGCAGATAACCGAGCAACCTCTGGAAAAAAGTCTTCTCTCCTCTCGCAATTTAATAGCTGTGTGACCATGAGCCAATCATTGGATTTCTCCAGGCCTCTGCTCTCTCCTCCATAAGCAGGGGTAATTACAACCCACTCATGGTACTTGAATTACATGAATGAATACCTGTAAGACACCTAGCAGAGTACCTGCTATATTAAAGAAACTCTAACCTTTAGCTCCCGCCCTAACCCCACTGAGTCTTTGTTCATCAGGAAACAGTAACCATGCACTCTGAAAGCACACAAACCAGCAAGTGGCTATTATACTAAGACAAAAGGAGCTCGGAAGCAAGCTAGACTGAAAAGATGAAGGAAATTGACAATCAAGACAAAGTGGAGAAACAGTGCAGTGGTTCTAGGACCTGCCACCTCAGCCTCACTTGGGAACTTGTTAGAAATGCAGGTGCGCAGAGCTGCTGAATCAGAATGTGTGGGCACAGGGCTGGGAAATCTGTCCTAAAAAGCCCTATATTGCCAGGAGCCGGTCCATGCTTGCTGTTTCAAGGGACCTGGCATATATGGCATACTGTTCTTAATATGTCTGCTCACCTTCTTGGCACTATGTGTTTTAACCAAGCTCTCTGAGAAAGGTTGTTTCCCCAGGTAGGGATTTTACCCTGAAGTTAGGGAGGGAATAAAACCCCTCAACTAAGTGCCAGGTGGGTAACTAATCACTTTAACTATGAACAGTCATGCTTAAGCTACATAATCTTTACTCCCTGGAATGGAGATAAGAAACGCCCTAACCTTTGTAATAGAGATTGATAGGATTGAATCAACTGGTATAAATACAGTTGTAAAAAGACAGCAGGACTGAGAACTTAGAACACAGAACTGAGAAGACAGAACCAGGAGGCACAGAACCTACACAGAACGTTCTCTAGAGACAGAAGAACTTCGCTGGAGAGAACATGGCAAAAGTTCCTGGACAGAAACTGGCCTCAGAACCTAGAGACAGAACCTAGCGAGAGAACATGGCAAAAGATCCTGGACTGAACCTGACTACAGAAATTGGCAAGAGAACCTGACTAGAACCTGGTGACTGAACCTGGCTGGAGAACCTGGACAGAACCTGGCTGGAGAACCTAGCAAGAGAACATGGACACAGAACCTGGCTGGAGATCCTAACCAGAACTTCGCTGGAGATCCAGACCAGAACTTGGCTGGAGATCCTGGCTAGAGATCCTGGCTAGGCTGCTGATCAACTGAACGCTGTCTCCGTGTCCTTCCTTCTTTGCTGACTACGTCTATGCCTTTGGGGACCCCTGGACCTGCTGGGGTTGGACCCCGGCATCTGGCGCCCAAACAGGGACCCCTAGGTAAGCCCCACTCTCAGGATGGATAGGACTCCACCGTAGGAAGAGGGTGGATAGTCTTCGCCGACTCCGTCCACACCTTTGGGAACCCCTGGAACAGGATTCCCCTAGGTAAGCCCCCCCCCCCATTGAGAACCCCCCCACTCAGGACGGATAGGACTCCACCAGGGTACTGCAGACCCCCCTATAGAGGATAAGTAGGGTAAGAAGGTGGATAGTACAGAACTTAGATTGAGAAGATGTGCCATACTGAGTCCAAAGAAAGAAGACTCTGTATTGATCTTTAGATTAAGAAGATGTGCCATACTGAGTCTAAAGAAATAAGACTCTGTATTGATCTTTTAACACATATGCTTGCTAGCAGAGGAATTAAGGTTACTCCCAGTCAGACAGAACGTTTTATACAAGAAGTATGTCCATGCTTTTCTGAGGAAGGAAAGGTAAATGTAAAGGCATGGGAGAAGGTAGGCCCAAGGAGCCTTATCCTCAACCCCACTGCAGCCTTTCCACCCTGGGAAAGTGCAGGATTGGCAAGTTCTCCCTGGGGTGATAGATCAGGACTCAGGTAATAGCAGAAAGTGCCAATCCTACTCTTAAAATGGATACAAGAGAGCATTTGGGGTTTTTCTTTTTAATGCCTGCTTTTAAAAAATAAAAAAGAGGGAATTTGCCAGGAGCCGGTCCATGCTTGCTGTTTCAAGGGACCTGGCATATATGGCATACTGTTCTTAATATGTCTGCTCACCTTCTTGGCACTATGTGTTTTAACCAAGCTCTCTGAGAAAGGTTGTTTCCCCAGGTAGGGATTTTACCCTGAAGTTAGGGAGGGAATAAAACCCCTCAACTAAGTGCCAGGTGGGTAACTAATCACTTTAACTATGAACAGTCATGCTTAAGCTACATAATCTTTACTCCCTGGAATGGAGATAAGAAACGCCCTAACCTTTGTAATAGAGATTGATAGGATTGAATCAACTGGTATAAATACAGTTGTAAAAAGACAGCAGGACTGAGAACTTAGAACACAGAACTGAGAAGACAGAACCAGGAGGCACAGAACCTACACAGAACGTTCTCTAGAGACAGAAGAACTTCGCTGGAGAGAACATGGCAAAAGTTCCTGGACAGAAACTGGCCTCAGAACCTAGAGACAGAACCTAGCGAGAGAACATGGCAAAAGATCCTGGACTGAACCTGACTACAGAAATTGGCAAGAGAACCTGACTAGAACCTGGTGACTGAACCTGGCTGGAGAACCTGGACAGAACCTGGCTGGAGAACCTAGCAAGAGAACATGGACACAGAACCTGGCTGGAGATCCTAACCAGAACTTCGCTGGAGATCCAGACCAGAACTTGGCTGGAGATCCTGGCTAGAGATCCTGGCTAGGCTGCTGATCAACTGAACGCTGTCTCCATGTCATCTCTTCTTCGCCGACTCCGTCCACACCTTTGGGGACCCTTGGACCCGCTGGGGTTGGACCCCGGCACTATATGTAATTCTGATGTACAATGGGTTATCTACAAATATTGGGTGAGGAATCATGGTGCATGTTTCTGCATGTGTATATCTGTGTGCACACACACCTATGTGCATACAATATTTGTAACTGCTGAAACTATTAACCAAGCGTGGTAATACAGCAAAAATCCTGCCCATTTTTCTTTGGTATGATTGTCTGAATAGAATATATATCTAGAATGCTTATTTGGAATGACTTTGTACTGAATTCATTTTGGGTTTAAAAGTATTGATTCACCAACTTTCTTCTTTTTCTTTTTCCCTAGGAAATTCCACTTACTTGGATGACCATGGACCACCTCCTAGTAAGGTAAGGCCTCTGCTTGTGGTGTAAATCCCTTTTTCCTTTTCTTAGTACCTACAGCCTCCACCAACCCCAACCACATCTCTCCTGGTTCTGAATTCTTCAAAAGAAAATAGTCGATGGTTGATGTCAAGCTAATATTTGCCTTATAGTATGGAGAAAAGGAAGCATGTGGAGGTAGCCAAAATGGTGAGAGAGGAGAGCCATGGTCTCATGAGTAGCTGTAGCTGTCACAGCACTGGAGGTCTTTGGCTGCTTCCCCTGTTTGCTACCTCATTGGCCTCAGCATCCATGCTGGCCCATGATGTAATGCCCACAACTCAGCTTCCCCATCCCTAGAGCCTTAGCTAGACTCCTGCCCACTTCTCCCCGGCCTGCCTTCATTGGTACACTCCACCCAAGGCTCAACCCGTTAGAACCAGATTTTTCTGCCAGTGCCCTCCCCAGGCTGACGTGGCCTGGCCTGTGTGCCCACCTTTGTTCTTTCTATAAGCAGTTTGGGCTTTACTTTTTAAGGGTCAGGACCATCTAGCGAAGTTCTCTAGCCCATTGTACATCAGATTTACATATAGGGCTTTTTAGACAGGACCATCTAATGTAGTTCTCTACCACTAGCTACTTTCTTGAAATCAATGAAAACCAAATGTCAGTCTACAAAAATATAAAGACAGTCTTTGACAACTGAAGGTGCTGCCTGCAAAGTACAGTTTTAAGTGCATACTGAGAAGAAAACCAACCGCTAACCTTAGCAGCTGGAAATTTATCCTAACATCAGCTCTGAGTTGGGGATTTGAAGAACTCCACCCCATTTAAACCCATGAGCTTCAGAATCAGGTGTTTCCGGGTTCACCACTGGCTCTGCCACTTTCAGTGTATGACATTAGACAAATTACTTAGTATTTGAGCTTGAGTGTTGTAATGTGCAAAGTAGGATTAAAAATACTGCCCCCAGTATAGGACGACTAAAAGGATTGAATGAGGTGAAATATGACAAGCACTCAGCGTCTGGCATGCTATGAACATTAAATAAGTGGTGGGGAATGTTAACTAGACTGGGGTAACATTAAGATCATTGATGAATGGTACAGTAGTGCTTGTCGCAGTCATGAATGGCTCTACCGCGCGGCCCACTGCATATTGAGTGCCTGGGAAGCTGTAGGTACTAGGAATACAAATATGAGACGACACAAGAACAGCAGCAGCAAAATAGCTCCTACCCTGGAGGGAAAAAGGATGTAGGATCGGACACCATCTGAGAAGAACAATGTCCATCTCATCTCAGTTTCCTCATGTCCGTGCACTGCTGTTCATTCAATCTCACTGAGTTGGACCATGCCCCCAGAGCTGGAATCTGAATTAGATCTCCTGGCTCCTATCCCAGGTCTTTCCACGAGGCCAGTATTCTCAAACTGGAGGCTAATTGTTAAAGCACAGATTGCAGGGCCCAGCCTCTGGGTGTCTCATTTGGTAGGTTTGAGGTGGGATATGAGAGTTTGCATTTATAACAAGCTCTTGATAGATGCTGGTGCTACTGGTCTGGGGATATAAGGCCACGGATGTAGAGAAAACCATTCCCCTGGCCATTTTCTGTGTGTGTGTGTTTTACTGCTAATAGCCTACAAGGAGCGGTATGGCTAATTATTTAAAGGCTATTTATTAGTATCATGATGACTCCCATTGTAACTTTTTTTGTAGTGAAAACGTATTTCCTTTGGTCAATAACCTGCCTAGGAGGGAAAATGAGTCAGGGTGGGAAAGAAGAATAGCGCAGTTGGCCTGCTAGGTTCCTTTGCCACTGATTGTACTTCTCTCCCAAGTGGGGCCAAGTGCCCTGCAGGGAAGAGGTGTTAGGTGGCTCTGTATGTGAGACCCATCAGCTGTTTCCTTCAATGGCATGTCGGGGCATTGCTTTGGGTTCCAGGTTTGATCAATAGGGTTTTACCTCTTCAGAAGACCCAGGCCCACTTTATATGAACTTACCTTCTTTTACTCAATCTTTGGTGACCAGCCTGGGGCCACCCCTTTAGTCTGCCTGGGGGCCTTCCTCATGCTGGGGTGCCCATCCTGTCTGTCCCTTTGCTAGTGTCCTCAGTGCCTGGGTTCTGTGTTTGCGGGGCTCTCTCCCTTGCCCCTGAAGGTCTTCCTCTGTCAGTGCATTGTGCCACCCCCACCCTCTGCTGCCCCATGCAGTTTGGCCTGCACCCCTCCCTCTTCCGCCACCTCCAACTAAGGCTGCCTGTGATACAAAACTGATCAGGTCCTATCAGATCATTTTACACCACTTTCAGAATAAAAGAGATTGTAAAATTTTCCAAGTTTGAAAATTGTGGCTATAATCTCTTTAAACAAGCACAAGTTTATATAATACAGTCTTTCACTATAACTATTTTCATTATCTAGAAGTGGAATAGCAAAAACACTTGACTTTCTAAGCAGTAGCCAAAATAAGAATAATACAAAAACGGGTAAAAATAATATTGGTATGTTAACATCTTTTCATCCGTGCTTACTAGTTCTGGCAGGGTAGAAATGAATCCCAGCAGTGACGAGGTCAGACTGCCAGACACCAGTCCCTTGAGTGTCCTCCGAGGTGGGGAGTTGGTTATTTAGGTTTACAGACCACTGGCATATCCAGGGCATGGTGGCACCCAGAGGATAAGGACTCATACATGTGTGGCCTCCAGCGTGAACCCCCCGCCTGGCAAGGGACAGCAGGACTGCGTCCAGACCCACAGTTTTTATTTCTGTTTAGCATTCAGAAATAACTTTTTGATGCCAAGACCCAAAGAGCTGTAATCTAGATAGAATAAGATTTGTAAGCCCTGAACATGTACCGAGGTTTATAGGCGGGGGTCTCATTTTATTAAAAGCGCAGTTCGACAAGTTTCACATTCCACAAGTAATAGCCTTTTGGGGAATGGGGTGTGCGCCACACGGCACACACAGGGCCCAGGTCTTCATTGTCTCCGGTATTTTCATAAAAGAGAACCAAATGCCTCTGATTTTCACTTGTTTTTCAAATCTACCTGAACCTCGCAGCTCACCTCAGTTTTTGAGCTAAGTCATTTAAAAACAGATGTTAATATTTTCTTTTGTTGACCACTTTTTTACTGGCATTCTGTGTGTGCACAAAATACAGTCCTTAAGATTAGATCCCTACTAGAAATGAACATGTAGACCTCTTCCGAATGAAATAGAAAGATAGTCTCAAGTATAAAAACAGGCATAAAACAGCAAGCATAGTATGATTGCACTTCTTATACAATTGTGTGTGTGTACGTGAGTGTGTGCGCATGCATGCGCGCGCACGCGTGTGTGTGTGTGTGTGTGTGTGTGTGTGTGTGTGTGTGTGTGTTTGCGCGTGCAGAAAAGAGCCTGGAACGATCATCATATTTTCTGCAGATGATGAGATTTTTACCCTATTTCTTATGCTGTTCTGTATAATTTTAATTCACTAAAGTAATGTCTGCTCAACCTGAAGACCAGGAAAAAATATTCCTGGTGTGAGATTGAACTTGGACTGGAAAGCCTGCAGTACTCTGGCTCCTAAAGCTCCATTTGCAGTTTTATGGACCCTCCCAGAGCAGCGCCCCCCCCCCCCCCCCCCCCGTTCCCCCACTGAATGTTGACCTCTCCCTCCTGGATTCAGATTCACTTCACCTGGACCATGAGCATAGAGTATTTGCAATGATCAGTTCTGGTGCCTACCAAGACAGTTATCATTTCACATGCTTTGGGTTTCCAAATCTTATATATAAGGAGAGTTGGTTTAAACAACTCAAGGAAAATAAAATCATGCTCCATAGCGGATGTCTATTGTTTCCTATGTGCCAAGTACTCTGCCAAGTGCTTTGCATGCATGTTTAGCCTCTATAAAACTCTATAAAAAGGAAATAATTTTTAATCCTAATTTTACAGATGAGGGAACTAGATCTTACAGAGACTGAATAACTTGCCAAAGGTCATGCACTGAGTATTGGCCTTGGGAATCCAGCCCAGGGCTGTGTAGCTTCAGGGCCCATGCTTTTAATCATTTCAAGATCACCAATTTAAGTAGAAATGCAATAATTTTTACCTTATTGCTAGAGTTTACTCTTTTATGTAAGTTATTTTGGACCTTGACTGTTACAATAAACAAGTTTTGACCCTCAGTATATCACCAAAAAATAGTTATCACCATTTACCATGTGAGTACAATGGACTCTTAATTTTTTAACCATCTGGTAAATTTTTTAATTTCTACCTCATCTTTTGCCTTCCAATCATCTTTGTGGACATATATACACCTTCAGCAATTATACATTAACAAACTGTATGTAAAGCAAAATTTGGTATATAAACATCACAAAAGATGAAAGAATACTGTCCCACATTCATTGAACAAAATGGATGATTCAGGTTCTTGTTGCAAAATTCTGATGTTTTTTTCTCTTGATGACTAACTGCATGAGAATACCACATTTTCTTTTTGTCATTAGAAATATATTGTTCACTAATGGACTCTTGAGTTTCAGAGACTTGATGTAGAATGTCATCATCTGAAGACTTGTAGCTGAGGTTTCACCCCCATGATCCATTTCTCCATTATCATTAGAGTCTTGAGTGCTATTGTTTAAGTCTTGGCATTCATCTCAGATTTCTCTAATGCAGTGGTTCTCAACCTTCCTAATTCCTCGACCCTTTAATACAGTTCCTCATGTTGTGGTGACCCCCAATTTCATTGTTACAAATTGAACATAATTAAAGCATAGTGATTAATCACAAAAACAATATGTAATTATATATGTGTTTTCCGATGGTCTTAGGCGACCCCTGTGAAAGGGTCATTCGACCCCCAAAGGGGTCGCGGCCCACAGGTTGAGAACCGCTGCTCTAATGCGTGTGAAACCTCTCCCTCTGTCAATTTTCCTTTCTTTGTCCCTAGAGTCAGGAATGAAAAATTCTGAATTCTCCATTCTGTTCAATGGAAGTTAAAAGCAAACTACAAGGATGGTACTTCCAACCTT